AATTAATCTGACAAAATCTAAATCAGTATTCTTTTCAAATTTCGGAATTTTAACTTGTTTTTGAGAAAGTCTTTTGATATTTTTTTTCTTATTACTATCTGTTTGAATTTTAGGTATCACTGCATCAGATTTTAGACATTTTTCTAAATTATTAGTGTTTGTTATATTTGTATTACTTTTTATACTACCTACAAGTTGTGAATGTTTTTCTTGTAATGATACATCTTGTGAAATACATGTTTCAGAATTTTTCAATGATTCAGATTCATTTATGTCACATATTTCTTTAGTTTTACCATTTTTATCTTGTAGCTTCTTTACAATGAATTCTGTACTATGAACTGTTGTCACATATTCATCTGATGTGTTTAGATACATAGTATCTTTATTGGCAACTCTTCCTCCATGTGAAAATGCAGATACATTTTTTCTTCTCCACATTTTAGAAGTTCTTGGAATAAATTGTTTGCATTTTCCTTCAAACAATAACTCTTTCATGTCAATGTCTTTGATATCTCCCTTTAAGAATTGTAAATATTTTTTTAAAGAAGTAAAGAAGTGTAATTTATCTGTCATTTTTGGAAAATTTGCACAACGAGCACTGCTTGATGGGGTGACCCAAATTGCAGTTTCCCCAACATGTTCTGGTTGTAATCCAAAGTTAAAATTACCTGTTTTATGAGCAAATACATCATAGATACACTTGCCATTAAAAACAGCAATCTTTGGTTTGTAAATTTTCAGTTTTTCTTCAATAATTTTAGAACCTTCTTTGATTTCTGCATATTTTAAATCAGCAGACGACTTTGTGGCTCTTGTAACAATATTTGTCAAACCAATCCCATACTGAGGAAGTTTGTAATCTTCCTCATAACATAAACGTCGAGATGTTAATCCTGATTCGTGCAAAAGTTTGTAAAAATGATTACCTGGACTTGCATAATATCTACCACGATGGGCTGACATTAAACTTGGATTTATTCCAACAAAAACTATATCTAAATTCATTTCAAGGTAATCTGGCAAAGTATATTTTTGCACCTCTTCTTCTGTCAATCCATCAAATCGGTCGATTTTCTTTCTTGGTCTATCCACTTTTTCTACTGGTGTTTTCTTTTTCAACTTATTTAGGGCGAGAGATGACATAATTCTATATAAAATCAGCACCATAGATTGCAAAACAACATATTACGTTATTTTGAAAATGTGAAGTACGCACAAACTACTAATGGTTTCAAACAGTTTTTAATCTTGTTGACAGCACATTTTTTCCCGCTGGTTCGGATTGACTAGGTTAGATAACCTTAAATACTCTACAGTGGTTTTTAAATTTCAGTCATATAATGGGTCAAAAAACTTTCTGTACATTTTACCCAAACTAATTTATTATGATATAATTTACAATATAACGCCAATAAATAATAATTCGTTCGAGTATCATAGAAAATAGTATGGCAAGTATTGAGATAACAAAAATAAAGAAATTTGAACAATTAGTTAACTCTTAACTGGTTACGTAGAAACCTTATGTCAAACATAAGCGACAATTATATGGAAAGACGTATTTATTTAGGCGCCAATAACAGTGTGCATTATGGCTGCGCAGAACTTTTTCCCGCCTTAAAAATATTACGTATTTAGAAAATAGAACGACGTAAAAAAGAGGGAATTCTAGAAGGAAAAGAATCACAGAAATTCGCTGGTGTCCAGAGAGTTTATACCAAGTTTATCCGTTATTATTTGTTACTTATAAAAAGTATAGTTTTTGTTAAAACCCGTTCTACATTTTTTTTTCATGTGTGTCTTGTTATACTATTGCGTGAACGCGGCTCAATATAACCTCGTTTGGCGATATCAATATGTAAATCAGGAGCGAAGCTCAAATTCGTTAACTTACGTATACGAACATATTTGTAAACTATTTAAATATTCGATGCGAGTGGCATGGTGAGGAGAAAGTCTGAGTTCAAAAGGCAGGAAATACCTTGTTTAGAGAATTCTGAGTTTAGTCAATAAATTCATGAGTAACAGTCTCACTGGTACCTAATAAATTAGTATTATGTATGGAAGATATAATGTACAGTAAAAATAATAGCTAGAAATGATAACCATAGGGATGAGAAAGAAAATTATAAAATAAAATACAATCATAAAAAATAAAAATTAATCCTCCCCGTCGGGGAATCGAACCCCGGTCTTCCGCGTGACAGGCGGAGATACTGACCACTATACTAACGAGGATTTTATATTGAAAACTTCTTGGGTGACCGTACATATACTATTGTTTCATAATACTGGACTTCGTGTAATTTATATATATTTCTTTATCTATTTTGGATAGTTTGTAGTTAAGTTTTTGATTGATGCTGTTTTAATTTATGTCTGTATGGTATAGAATTTTTTGTCGTTCGCTTTTCTGGTAACGTGATACATGAGTGGTATGTTTTCTTTATTTTGAATGTATCCTTCGCTGTTAGGTGTATACATTTTCGATCCACATCAAACAATTCGCTCGATACTGACGAATTGTTCATTACGAGCCAGCGAACTCGCGAATTATGTATCAAAACTGTATTCTTGAGACCACGAGAAAGTTCACTTCTTACTGTTTATTTTTAACAATTATTGTTACATAATACGAACTATTTCTGTCGCTTTCTTACACATTCATTCTTACACATATATTCCAATACAATTAATAAGAACATAACTAAAAATAACAGAAATACATATTGCTTCATTCCCACTCACACCATACAATCACATTTAAAACATCTATCCTTACTCTACACCTATTTTATCAAACCAACGAGTAATAGAAACTGCAGACGGAAGATGAAAACCGAATGAATTGCGTAATTTACTGTATAATAATGGTGAAGTGTTGTGCATTGTCATGCATATTTGTTTTTCAGTAGGTGAAAAAACTGATTTTTTAGTTTTAAATATTAACATTAATATAAAAGCTAACACGAAACCATTAACTTTCTTTGCTATTGCTTTCTTCAAGCACATATCGTCAACAGAGCCTGAATAAATTTTTTCTTGCAGCCGATTAGTTACTCTACACTTCGCGCGTAATTTTAAACGAAGGATATCAGACTTAGTCTTCTCTTGTTTTAATTTTCCCTCTAGTTCTATCAACCGTTGTTCCAGTTCATTGCGTTCTTTAAATGACGAACTGGCTTCAAGTTCTAAATTAGTATTTGCAGCGGTTACATGCAAATTTTCATAAAAAACATCATAAATGTTAGGAACAGCATCTTTCTTTAGTCGCCTAGATGGATGAAAAGAATTTTTGGAAAAATGTCGACTGCAAATGTATTTACGTTGTAATTCTGCATTCGACATTTCTACCCAATCATCTAAACCAGCATTAATTAACCATGTTATACATCTATCCGGATCATTCACGGGAAACGAATGGAAAGAAGTTCCATTCGTTACCCCGCGGTTTACTAAACCACAATTCCTAAATTCACACTTTTTATAATGTTTTTTTTTTGCTTGATGCTGCATCTTAATAGCAATATAAAATAAAAAAATTACTTATTATATTGTTACCGTATATATGCAGAATCCACTTCTCTTCAATTCATTTGAATTTATTTTGCCTAACACGAATTAAAAAATACAAACTCTAGACTAACTCGACCGATCGAACCAATGAGTTCGGTGAAAACCTGTTCTGTTTTTTTTTGTTTTTCTTTGGTTTTAGATGATTTTATACCTGCAAATAATATAATTTGTTATTTTATATTTAATTTTTAGATATTAATTTAGTTTTTCTTGTAAAATGTGTGGTGCATTTAGTACTGTGTTATGCGATTTTTTGTTTTAGTGGTAGTTCTTTTGGAATCTAACTTATGATGTTGTTAATTAGTAGGTTCTTTGGTGGGTTATTAAACTTGTTAGTATATCTTTTAGTGAGTTTTGTGTGTATTCAGTGATTGTTACTATTTTTGTCTTTTTGTGCAGTTTTAGGATTAGATATCATCTGGGTTTATTTAGTATTATTCTAAGAACTTTATTTTGTATAGTATAGAGCTTACTGATGTGAGCTTTTGCTGCTGTGATCCACGCTTGGTGTCCACATGTTAGGTGGTACAGTGTGATTTTTAGTTCAGTTGAAGGGCTCCTTCTTAATCATGGCTACCCTTGCAATTCACATAAGTAGCTATCAGGAGTTTTCTTACGTGTTCTGGAGTCATGTCTATAAGCACACTTTATGCATTTGTAACTTCTGTTGAAATTTTGTGATATGCATTTATAAATCTAAAGCATTATATAAATGGCTTGTTGGATTCATATTTTTCCCAGTATATTCTACAGTGAAAAAGATGGTTTATTTTTTGAATATTAGCTAATGAAGTTGTAGTTGACAAGATGATCTTTGATTATTCTTTCTGTGTTTAGTGAGTAGTTGTGATATTCTATGTTTTCTATTATACATGTATCTTTTATTCCTTTTGGAACTGTACTTTTAATTTATTTTTGAAGCATCTGATATTGAATTGTAAACCATATGTCCTTACAATTGTGTTAATAAAGTTGGCTTTTGATTGTGTCTAAGTGTATGTATATTGTGTGAGTATGTGGTTATATATGGTAATGTTAGAAGTTGATTTGTGTTCATGCTGGTTTGTAATTATAGCTGCAGTTATACTTTGATTTGAATTGATTCATCTGTTTGTGTCAAAACAGTTTGAAAAAATTGCATACCTAACTGTTGTTGAGATTGTGGCGGCGCATTCGATTTCTATGCTTCCTTGTTATTTTACTATTATTCTTTCTATGGAGTTTGATAGTAATAAAGATCACTTCTTTATTGTATATATTGTACTTTCTGTTCCTCTGTCTGATTGACTGCCTGTGATATCAGTTTTCTTTGCCGCCTGTTGGATTTTCTTTTCTAATTTTGCTCTTCCCGGGTCGATAGATTTGCCAATGGATGCACGTATTTATTTGTTGAAAACGATTTGACGTCGAACAAAGAACACACTACATAATCATAGACGACATAAAGATAGATCTAACATCTTATGGGACTTTGTGTCCGCGGCACTGAGGCCGAGAAAACCCTTATCATTTTTGTGTCGCTCCCAACGTTACCGATTTAGTGTAGAATAAAATTACAATATTAGTCATGGTTGGAATTAAAATTAAACGTAACTATGAAATTACAAATAAGAAAGTAACGTAATTGTCAATTAATAGATGATTCATTATATCCGTATGTCGTACTGCTGTCAAAAGGTCGTGAACAGTTCTACCACGCAATTCAATATATTTAGTCGTGCTTTTACGACGCATAACTCGACCATGCATTTAGCAATATAGAAATGAGAAAGATAAGGAAAAGAATAGACAAAGGCAAGGATATGAATAGAGCAATGAGTTAGACAAGGAAAGGAATATGGTTAGATAAGAACAGAAAATTTAAAAAAGTGGAACTAATGCCATCTCGCGTTTGGCTCCGCGAAGTAACTACTCGTTATTCGGAACACAGAATGTGAACAAAGGTGTTAGACAAGGAACGCACTACTGTGCGAGAAGGATAGAGAGAAAACGTTTCCTATTGGCTGGCGGGCACCTAAGCTCCACCTCCCACCGACTAATCAAGTCGGTCAAGGAAAAATCATGAATAACTCAATAATTAGGAAGATTTTGTGAACTTTTAGAATTGAGGAAGAAAGGATGGACCTTTAGCAACTTTCCCATATAAATTTTAATGTTCTAGCACCTCTCAGTAATTAGTTATTAACAATTTTAGTGGGTAATGTCGGGAACGACACCGCATACAGTCAAGTACCTTTACGGTTTTTTAATAATTTCATAGCTTTCTACTAAATTCTCATGCAACTAACTATATGCGTTTGAAAGGCACCTCCTTTAGCTATATTCTTTTATCATTTTTATTAACATATTCGGTTTAGTTCAAGAGTTATTAAATATTATATGAGGGAGTCCCCTATTCACCGTACCCGTGTAGAGTGAACTGTTGTAAACAATTGCTAATATCTAATAAACCAGACCACTTACGGCTATCCAGCTAATTGCAGAATATAAAAGAAAGTCCATTCTACATTCTACATGTTTTAAAGTGCACAATTAGTCACGTATGTCTGTTGAATTAATGAAAATATGTGACGCTTAAATGCGACTGGTGTAATCCTCACTCAAAGAATGTTAAGTAACTATCAAACCACAAGGGATATGTTAATAAAAATTATAAAAGAATATAGCTAAAGGAGTTGCCTTTCAAACGCA